TAGACAGTCAGTCAGTCAGTTAGTTTGCAGTCTCTCATCCATGTATATGTATATATATGTAAATATTCTATTTTGAGACTCGAGTTGCCCTTTGGGCCATATTTTTATCAGTTAAGTTGTTTATGTCTTTGCATGGCATTGAGTTACTCTTTTGAGTCAGGTTTCCGCTGAGTTAAGAAAGCCAGGCCAAGGGTTCGCTTGGGGCCAGCAATGGTCTTCGAGTGCCGGTCTCGCCCAGGGTGTAGGCTCGGGGCGTGACAAGAAGAATATCCCATTATATAAGTAGCATTAAAAGTAATATTGTACTTTGCTGGGTGATATTGTATATGATTCTTATGAAGCATTTTTGTTAAGTATAGGTTTCAACTTAATATTAAGGTAAACATTATAGACTTTTCTTACAATAGTACAACATTTTGTTACTAGGTATCTCTTATTCTATGCTATGTTGTTTGCCATTGTCATTCTCTCTTTATTTTTTTCTTTGCATTCACACACATTAATTTTCTTGTAGACTGCGTATTATCCATATGCAAGACGAATCCCAGATTTGATGTTTACAAGTATTTATGGCGACGTCGCGTTAATATCAATAATAATTAGATTCACAATCACATATTTAAATTCATAGATTACACTGTGGATTTGCCTTTGGCTGTCCAAACCTCCTTTGTAAGTCCATCATATGTGCTCAAAGCACGATCGTTCAGCCTCAATCAAGGTACTGATTTAAAACGACATTGATACTACTCTGTCACAAACCCAACGGACTTTCATCACAAAAGCTAGGCCGTGAAGTGAGCTTATAAGCACTCATGACTTCCTCTCAAACATACAATCAACTTAGGCTGAAATCCCACTCTGAACGAAAATAAGTGTTTGTTTATCAAACTGACTTGTAGTAGAACACTGAAATAACTTCTTCTAAACGTTCAACAGATGAGATTTCCAGCACTCAAATAAATGAAGGGTTCATATAAATCTTCAAAGAGAATTAGTAAAATACATGACCACAAGTACATTAACAGAAGAACAAGTCACTAGAGAAAGTTAAACTGATACATAATGATACAAAATAGGATACACAGTTGAACATGCCCCTCCATCACAAAATACAATAGGTGTCTTTACTGATATAGCACAACAACAAGAGTTTAAACTCATTATTTGTTATTAATTGCTGCAAAGTCTCTCAACAAAGGGTCAAATTGCTTCACTGCCACCATAACCAGCACTGCAACTACACAAGGCTCAAGCAAGTAAACGCGGGTGAAAGATTAACATAGAACTAATACCTGAAGTCTTCCTAAGAAGAAGCCAGAGAGAAATTCCCATTACTATATGGAGTCAATGCTGCACCTTCATCAGTAATCCAAACAAAACCAGGAGTGTCGAACCTCCTTCCTGACACTGTCCTGTATATGTAAAATTTCTCAACAGGGCAACTTTCTGGTCTCGTACCTGGATGACCCCTCTCGTCTATAACTTCAACATTAAGCCCTGGCAACATACATTATCACATTGTTTCCTCATACAGGAGGACTCAGAGAAGGGCTATATTTTTAGACTATGATGGTACTGTTGTACCTCAGTCATCTATGGTTAAAGCTCCAAGTGCCAAAGTTATTTCTCTATTGAATGCTCTAAGTAATGAACCTAAAAACACTGTGTCTATTGTTAGTGGCAGAGGAAGGACTTCATTATGCGAGTGGCTTGCACCATGCGAAAGGCTTGGAATAGCTGCTGAACATGGGTACTTCATAAGGTAAAGACCTAGTCATCTTGTATTCTTTGGTTACTTTATACTTGTCATTTGCAGTTGGACTGTAGTTTCTCATTTGGAACTTGTGTTCAGGTTTTGTTTTATTTTTATTCTTTTACACATTCATCTACAACATGGTCTCTATTGTTTTTTCTCATTGCAGGGATTGTATAACTTCTGAATGGGATCATTTAGATTCTGATCTTGAATGGAAAGAAATTGCGGAACCTGTGATGCAACTTTACACAGAAGCAACTGATGGATCATTTATAGAATCTAAAGAGAGTGCAATGGTGTGGCACCATTATGATGCAGATATTTTAATGCAAATATTACTGAACAATTAGACATCCAAAGGGATCGCATTGTCTCCAGCTTTGCAGCATTAGCCAACAGAGCCTTATCACCAAAGGGGCAGTCTCTAATCTCCAACTTACGGAGGCTCTCACAACCAGAGAGAACATAGTAGAGGCCTAGATTGATATCCCCCACAAAAGCTAAGGAAAGCATCTCTAACTTCTTAGCAAGGACCCCGATGTACTCAAACGCACGATCTGTAAGGAGTCCGGAAAGAGAAAGTCGCCGTAATTCCTTGCAGTGTTGTACAATGTCCCCAAAACCAGCATCAAGTGGTTCAAGGGTTAGGTAATCATGAGTTTGAGGCTCAGTAATACACAAACGAATTTGGATCATGTTAGGACGGTTCCTTGCAATAGTAACTAAGGTGTTATTTGTCATTTGGCAGCAGAAGCATAAAACTGACTGAAGCTTACAGCAGCCCATTGAGACAGCTACAAGGCCTTGCTCTGTCAAGGATACATTCGGTCCTGGAGCAAATGAATCAGAAGGAAACACCCTAAGCTCTTGAAGTTCCTTACAATCTCCTCAAGACCGTTCATGTATCCCTTCTCAGGAAAAAAAAAAACAGTTAATGTATCGAGCCATGACTATTGAAAACATGCACCAGCAACAGGTATCAGATAACTTTGTCCACCAATGATATGACATATGGGAAGAATCATCTAGGATTTTTGTCTCCGCTGAAATTTGAACCTGAGACCTTAGCGCTCTCAATCACTTCATTGACTACAAACAGAGAGTATTGGAAGTTTGATTAACTTTCTTATCTCTTTCCTTTGTGGCAGATAAGCATACTTGTGCACCGGCAAAGTTAATGGTCATAGTTATCCACGGAAGCTAAGCTAAATGTCATGTTAATGTATTATGCCTTAAAAAGAATTAATATAACTTGGAAAAATGTTGAATTTTTTTTGTTAGTGATACAAAGTTAAAAATATGAATACAAGTATTTGGAGTTTCTAAAATTTTGGAATATTCTGGCAAAATTTGGGCCGAGAATTGTGACAGTTCATGTCCAAACATGATTACCCATTGGCAAATATCCAAAGTCTTCATACATATAAGTGTCGAACAACAAAATGTGGCAAGGAGAAAAAGTAAATCAAATATATTCTGGAGGATAAATTGGCAGCACCAACAGGTGCTTACACCTTTTTACTGTTCTTAAAAGATGTCTACAATGTGTTTGATCAAAGTCCCGACTGAACTATTAAGTAGATGATATTGGCAAGTAAAATAACAAGCAACCAAAGCAATTTAGAGAGATCATTTTTTTCCCACGGGATTTTTCTAGTAAGGTTTTAACTAGGCATATTATCTACTAATAACGGACATCCAGTGTTGTTAAGTATCATACTAAATATATGTTGAGTTACTTTGGTTTGCTCATTATTATTGATCATTGCTTTCATATAGTGAGTTAGTATCATTATTTGGTCTACAAATTCAATTTAGATTACTCTGGCCATATAGTACAACTTAAATAGCTCATCTTTTCAGCTATTAATATTTCTAGTTGAGAATGAATGCCTGTGTCCCAATGTCTGCTGACTGACTGACTGACTTGTTCAAACATATTTTTTTGTGATTTTCTTGCTATCTTCTCCTCCACACAAATCTTATCAACCTAATATATACTTTTTTGGAAGGACTATAGTCATACACACAAACAGACAACACCCATATCAGAACTGAAAAGGTTTGATCATCTCTAATTATAACTGTGTGCTTAAACTTGTTATCTACATCAGATCCAGAGAATTTGAAAGGCACTGTCATGGAAAGAAGCAACTTACAGGTATCTTACATTTACTTGGATCATTTATATTACTATAATATATAATCAAAATTCGAAGGAATACTGCACGTAGATTCTCGAGTTAAGTTAATTTGACCCATGAATAATGAACTTTACTTGTGTATATTCTAAAAACTATTTTTTGTCTCACTAAATTCACTGAACCTTATGCGTTCTATCAATATAGCCACAAAATTAACTTTTGTATCATTAAAGTCACTGAACTATGTGTTAGTTACCCAGAAAGTATAATTCATCGGAAAATCAAATATTTGGGCACTGACATATAACATGTCAGCAGTTATTTTAAATAATTTTTGACCCCAGCTTAACCAACCGAACGGATGCTTCAAGAACCAATGGAGCTGATCACCAATAAGTACATAGGAATTGTACGTTATGTAATATGGCAGAATGAAACATTTTTTTTCCCAATTTATACCACTAGACAGAGCGTCTAGCAGTTTTTTATTAAAATAAAAATCCTCAATAGAAATAAGTACAAGCAAGGGGGGCTAGACCTTACCTTGTCAATCCTAATAAGGCAACGAACCTCTACTAATCAACAAGCATGAAAAAAATAAGAGCTAGAGAGAACTAGGTATTCTATGATCATCACAGAACTTGTAATAAACTCTATGATGATATTACAAATGAGAATACTTGGAAAATGCACAAATATAAAATCCAAGAAGAAAGTTGAGTTATCAACCTCAATCTTACTTTATTACAAATGCGTGAATTAAAAATGATAGATAGCCCATCTAGAGTAACCTGAAGTATTTTCATCTTGTCTTCTTCTTCAAATTTGTCCAACAAAACTTGATAGTTCACCACTTCTTCTTGGATGTATTGGATCTTGTTGAAGCTATTGACACTGTCATATGGTTCTGCTTTGTCAATCGCATCGGTAGGTGCCTTGGAACAAACTCTCCTTTCACTTTACCATCTCAACTGTGTTGCCTTCCATGTGTCTTCTTTTTGTTTTTATTGCTTCCACTTCTTTGATGCCGAGGTGAGATATCCCCATCCCTAGCCACTTTATCAAAGCATATGTCCAACATATTTTCTTCCTCATCCTCATCAAAAGAATCATCGCCCAAATCACTATCATAACCCCTAGTTGGACTAAATTCTAATGCTAAGGCCTCTTGTTTCTTCTTTGCAATTATACTGTTAGGTACAAATTCCAAAGCTTGTGGACTTAATTTTCTACTCAAAAGCAGAGGTGAAACATGCTCTTCTTCATCAACCAAATCAGCCCATCTAGGAGTAATCATCTCTCTATGCTTTTCTTTCGAGACTTCATGAGCTGAGGTGTTCAATGTGACCATGGGTGACTTGATCGCTGAATTGGGTTTGAGCAACATGGCAGCCTCACTTTCTTGAATAATCTTAGCTACTTCAGGATTAGAGCTATATGTAGGACTCATAACACTATCATGTTTTTCAGTCTGCATGCTACATACTCCAATTGGCGTGCTAACTGATTGTATATTATTATCAAAATTGGCTCGAACCAAAGTTTGGTCATTCGTGGGAGTAGAATCAACTAACTCTAATTCTTTCTCCACCTCGAGTACTTCAAATGGATTTGTACAAACAATGTTCTTCGGTTCATTAGATTGCACTACTACATTAGTAGTTAGCTGCTGCTTATTTTCAAGACATGGAGGAACCAATACACATAGAAATTGATTTTATTTGTGCAATTGTGTTCCAATTCCCAATTGCATTCTCATCACGACCAAAAATTTCAACTTGCAAATCGACAGGTTCCAAAGGTTGCACATCACCACATTTTGATCCTTCAATTTTTTTCTGTCCATCAATTACCAAATTCTCAAGTTGCGCGAGTTGCTCTTCAACTTCAACACAATCAACTGAATTACCACTTAGTTGATTGGGAGAAGTATTTTTTTTTCCGTGAAAACTCATCAACTTGAGGAATTAAGGATAACATTCGATTCCCGAAAGAGTAGTTGTCTAACACTGCTTTGCCGAGACGCTGGCTAGAATTTTGGCGCACCAAATTTTGAACTTGAACGTCACTCTTTTCAGCCCCTATCTGTAGATCTTTAATTGTTCCTTCATCATCCTTTTCACCAACTTCCAACCTATTTGAATCAGCTTTTTTAGCATTGAGATGAACACGAAGATCGCCTCAAAATTTTTCTCCTTCAATATGATGTTCACTAACCGTGGCATCAACTTGACCATCAATGAGAGTTCGACAATCGGCTTCTCTATGCCCCTGATGTTTACATTTGTTACAATAATATGGTAAATAATCATACCTAATTTTTTCCATACGTTTGTAATCTCGTCGGTGACTAAATTTTTTAATTGAACTCTAATTCTTTTTGGAAGCGTCCTTAATAGATCCACCTCGACTTTTACCCATGCAGTACTAGGTCGTGTTTTATCATTGGTCGCTTGATCCACATCAAGAGGCTGTCCAACTGCTGAAGCCATCGAAAACAGAGCATTACGAGCAAAATATTGACATGGTAAACTTGGGAAAGAAATCCATGACATTGCAATGGAGGTTTCTTCCCTAGGACTAAAAGGAGGAGTCCACTTTTGGATTCTGAACGGTATAAACTTACCGGCAAACTGATAGATTTTCCAAGCATTTGGAGCATAGCCAGGAGGTTGTTCGATAAATACCTTGTAACATTCGGCAATTTGAAATTTACTATGAAGAGGCTTAGAATTGGAAATAGTCATTTTTGGAAGGAATTCAAAAATCTGGAAATTTGGTTAAGTATGGGAAAAAGTGAGTTTTTGGTCAACTTTGAACAATAATAACTCCTAGCTCAGGATGAGTTAGGTGTAGTTCCAGTTATGTTTGCGAATCTCGTGGAATGGTCTTTCCAACGCCGCTGAGTTTGCTCGATTCCGAGTTCGTATGAGTGAGTTATGCCCTTTGGAAGTTGGACTGTTGGCAGGACAGTTTAGTCCGAAATTTGTAGGGGTATTTTGGTCTTTTCCCTAACCAATTCTTTTGGTTATATTAGGGATTTAGACTGATTTTTAGATCAATTTTTCCTTTTTTAAAAGAGTGAGAGTGAGGGTTTTGTGAGTGAAGAGGAGAAGAAGAGGAGAAAGAGAAGAACAAGCAAGGAGATCGTCGTGGTTTTTGTCGGGGGTGATCCCTATTTAGGTATGTGAGTTCATAGTGTTGAGTTGGTTCTTTCCCCCACACGCCAAACTCGTTTTAATTCCGAGAAAAGATTGGTTGTGTTTGTTGAAGTTGTTGGTTGTGTTTGTTGAGGTTGTTGGTTGTGTTGTTGAAGTTCATTGTTGTCTTGGTACATGTTTCCGGTTGTGATTTCGAGTTGAATCTAGTGTATGTTGAGGGGTTTTATGATATTAAGTGTTTGGGGCTGGAAACTTTGAAGTTTAGAAGGTTTAGAGTTGGAGAAACTAAGGAGAAAAGTCGAATTTTTCGGGTAAAAGGGCTGGGGCGTCACGCCAGCCAGCGCGCCCCAAAAGG